CGCTGGGGGCTTATTCCTCTCCTCGTTCCTCCCTTTTTGGGTTTGTTCATTTTCTTGGCCACCTTTTTGTAATAAATATTGGGGTTTTTTGTTGAACTAGCAACGGTGTCCGTTTTTCGTGTCTGTATATCTCAGACCTTTTTCCCTGATAAAGTAACCCCTCCCCGATACAGTGTGAGTCGCGGGTCTGCCTGCCTTCCTCGGCCGCCACCGAGCTGGTCTGCCTGCCTTCCCCACCGCCACGGGCTTTATCTTTCCTCACCATTTTACTGTTTATTGCCTTCCCCGCCGTCTCGTGTGCCCCATCTAGCCCCGACAGCCTCACCCATTCCCCGGCTCCACCCGCGCACGTTCCATCGCGGCTCTCGGAGCCTTGGAGCTCCCGGGGGTGAGGTGGGGCTGAGCCCCTTCCCAGTGCTCCCAGTGTGCCCAGTCACCCCCCAGCACCCCAGGGAGGGCTTCGGGGGGACACAGCACACAAGGGCTGCTGGGGGGTCCCACCTCACTTCTGTTTGTTCTATTCTTCCCAAGCTGGGCAAAACAGATTTTTGGATTTTCTACCCGAACTCTGTCCCCCTGGTGCCCCCTAGGAGCGGCTCTACCCCCCCCAGAACGGGACCGTGTCCTGACCGATGGAGCTGAGAGGGACGAGGGGGTGTCAGACAAGTGGGGAAAAAAAACCCTAAATGACCAGGGGGAGTCAGCTCCTCCTGCCCTGCCTGGTTCTGACACTCCCATGGCTCCAGCCTTTTTGCCACCCCCACTCCCCCGGGAGATGCTTCTTGGGGAAGCGACACCAAATATCACCTGTCACGTTTTAGTCTCACCCCCTAAAAACCTCAATCAGAGGCTTTTTGAGTTGATTTAATAAATTAATTTGATTAATTTAATAATTTTCTGCCATTCGGCCCAACCCTGCGCGTGTTCCTGCACCTCCAGGTGAGCGCCCTCCTCCTCCTCCTGGCTGGGGACACCCTAACCCTTTCCCCAGGCACAGGGGAGGCTGCAGAATAGAGAGATATGTTTAAAAAAAACCCCAAAGAAACATAAAAGGCCCGGTTGGTGCCATTTCCTGGGACCGGACGCGCGTTGGTCACGAGGTGAGAAGGTGTCTGAGGCTGGTGTCGCTCTCGGGACATGCCAACGACCTCCAGAGCCACCATGGCTGGGGAAATGGGTCATGCCGATCTAAGAAATCCTGGGAATGAGCCTTCTCCGGCTGAGAAATGTCCTGGTGAGTGTATTTTGGGGGAAAAAAGGCTTATTTCAGGCCCTGGGAAGAGTTTTGGGTCCGTTACCTTTGGGGTCCCTTCGCTTCTCCATCCCCACGTTCAGGTTTCCAAGCTCACGGGGTGGCCTTTGAAATGGGGTCTGGGCTTGTCTGGAGCAGGACAGGGACAGGAGAGGCTGGAAAATCTCCAGAACTGGAACAGTTTTGTTTCCCAGACCCTTCCCTTGGTGGCCAAAAGGGACCCCAGGAAGCCCCAGGGGAGTCACCACCCCTGGGAGGGCAGGGAAGGGGCCGAGCCCCGTTCGGACCCCGGAGGTGTCGAGGGCTGGAGGGACCCGTGGCCACCAACTCCCAGCTGGAAACTGAACCCGTTTGGGAGTTCCCAGGTCCTGCCCTCTGTCACTGGGTCCCTGAGGCTGCTCCCGAGGCTGCTGCACCCCCTGAGCCCCCCAATTCTCCCCGGGGGTGCTGCCCTGGCTCGAGCCCTGTCAGGGAGGAATTTATGGCTTTGGAGGAAGCAAAGCAACCAGAAACTTCTGCTCCAACTCACAGCTCAGCAGAGGGGTTTGGTTTTGTTTTTCCTCTAAACCTCCAATCTTCTTCATGTTTTTTTACAATTTTTAAGCTTAATTGTGGCCTCTTCCAACTCCTGCCCCATGCCTGTGGTGGCACAGAGTCCTCCTCACAGCCGGGGCGCTGGGGCACCTCGTCCTGCTGGTGCTGGTGGTGCTCCAAAATGTGAGTGGTGAGTAACCAGCTCTTATCTCCATCTCACACCCCGGCAAGAGGTCTGGGAGCGGAAATCTGGGTTTGCTGCAGCGGTTCAGGTCCTGGAGGGTTGGTGCAGACACAAGAGCCAAGAGCAAAACCCCCTCTGGGCACACCTGGAGCATCCCCATGAACAAGGGAGGGAGGGCAAGACCCGTGGGCTTCGGGCCTAATTCATTAACTGTGGGGCAAACCTCGCCCTGTCTCTGTGGGGTTTGTGGCTTGGCTTCAGCTTCTCATTCCCACGTCTTTGCTCCCAGTTTTTCAGGGATCTCCAGGTCCTGAAAGTGACACCAGAGTTGAGAGCCAGGCCAGGAACCAGACGGAGCAATGCATCTTCCCATCCCTGGTGCAGTACTTCTGCCAGCCCCAGGGGCAGAGCCCCCCAGGTGAGCCCCCTTCCCACATGGTTCTGCTGGGAGAGGCTCAGGTGGGACCTCGGGGGGCTCCTCCTGCGAGGAGACCCTGCACTGAGGGTTCTTTGGCAAAAAGGAGCATTTTTAAGGAAGAATTCTCTTTTCCGTGCGATTTTTGGCGGTCCCACCTCCCCGGAGGAGCATGGTCAGCCCAAGGGGGGATGTTTCTCACCACCCTTCCTGCACCCCAACCACTTGCTCTGCCCTCATGGTCACCCAACTTCTTCCTCCTCCTCTTCTCCCCCCTCCTCTCCCTCCTCCTCCTCCTCCATGGTGGCAGAGCAGAAAAACCACAAGGGTGGGAAATGACTCGAGGGTTTGGTGCCTTTCATTTGGGGGGACAGGGAAGACCTTGCTCACCTTTGGGGTGTCTCATTCATGGCCTTTCCTCCTCCCCAGCCCCTGCTGGCTGCAAGCTGTGCCCCCAGGACTGGCAGCTCCGTGGGGAGAGATGCTACTGGCTCTCCAAGGAATCGGGGAACTGGACTCGGGGCAGGAAAAGCTGCAAAGATCAGGGCTCCGAGCTGGTGGTGCTCAAGAACGAGACAGAAATGGTAAACAGGAAGGAGAAGGCTTAGAAAGGACCCAGAAGTCCTGGGTTTTTAGGGAGGGGGGCAGGGGAGCAAAAGGCTCCCAGTAGCAGGAGGGTTTCGGGTTCAGAGCATGGGGCCGCTCATGTCCCATAGGTTTTGGCGGTCAGGTTTGTTCTGTGGCTTTGCACCCCACGGAACTCCACATGGAGAGATTTTTTTGGAGCAACCGGTCCCTTCCATGTCCCAGGAGAACGTCAAGAGTGTCACAAGTAGGATCTCGTGGTCGGTGTGGGTCGGGTTGAGGTCGCGGCAGAAGGAGTGGACGTGGGTGGACAACACCCCCTACGACCCCCACAGGTGAGTGTCCGAGGTCTGGGGGGGTAAAAAGCTGCTTTGGTCCATTTGAGACCCCGATCCACGTCCCCACATCACTGGGGGCCATGCAAGGGTCTCTTATTCCTCTGGCAACACTCTGCAGACCAAGAGTCGGGGTCATGGGACACACTGGGGTCATGGGGCATGTTGGGGTTGGTTATGAGGCACATTGGGGTCATGGGACACTTTGCTCCTCTCAGCCAATAAACCCTTCATCGTGTAGGTTTGGGGTCCTGCAGGAGCCGGACAAAGGGTTCTGTGGGACCCTGAAAGGCAAGAACTTGGAGGTTGATGGCTGTGCCAGTGACCACACGTGGGTTTGCCAAAAAGCCCCTTTCCAGCTCTCCTCGCCCATGGTTGGGAAGCTGGATGATGCCTCCACCTGACACACTCGGGCACGGACCTCGTGTGGTACAAAAAAAAAATTTATTACAATTTTTTCATGGTTTATCCACCTCATTACATCAGCAGTAAATTCCTGTTAGTGACTTTTCTCTATATCTACTTTTTAGTTAAACATTCTCTGCACAGGAGAAAAATACTCCCAAGCAATTTCACACACACACGGATTTATCACCACATCTGCATTTATCTTGCAAGTTCCCCTTAAGTTTCTCCCAGAGTCACATAATCTCGGTCCCTACACTTAAGTGTTATTTTTATGCTTTTATATTACTGTAGATAATAATAAGCCAAGCAGCTCCATCCCTGCTTTCCTTTGCAACCAAACTGTCCTAAAATAAACACACATATTCCAACACCCGCCCCTTCGGTGTCTTCGCTCTAAACCCACCCCATGGGAGTGACGGCTCAAAGAGCCATTTAGCCCCGTCCTCAATGGGTGTCACCGACGGGTGGAATTGGCGATTCTGTGAGGGCAGTTCTGTGAGGGCAGTTCTGTGAGGGCAGTTCTGTGAGGGCGATTCCATGAGGGCAATTCTGTGAGGGCGACTGTGAGGGTTACTCTGTGAGAGTGATTCTGTGAGGGCAATTCTGTGAGGGCGACTCTGTGAGGGCGTTTCTGTGAAGGGGATTCTGTAAGGGCGGTTCTGTGAGGATGACTCTGTGAGGGCGCCTCTGAGGGCAGTTCTGTAAGGGCAGTTCCTTGAGGGTGACTCTGTGAGTGTGGTTCTGTGAGGGCGACTCTGTGATGGCGCCTCTGTGAGGATGATTCTGTGAGGGTGACTGTGAGGGAGGTTCTGTGAGGGCGTTCCGCCATCTTGGCTCCCTCAGGATGAACAGGGCCAACCCGGCGCCCGCGGGTGTTCCCTCGGACCTTTCCCCACCCGCACGGGGCGAGCGGCCCCCGCAGCTCCCGCCCCGACCAGGACACGAGGGACAGCGGTGGGGTCGTACAAACTTTAATATAAATGGGTAAAAAAGGAGAAGGAGAGAGAAGCAGAGCGGCAGCACTGATACAGTAACTCTGCTGAGACCACAATCAGGACATTGTACATTCACATTCACAGATTCGTGTAGTGTTGAGCAGCAGATGAATACTTCATATGCACACGTAGTGTTATGCATCTGCATCGTTAAGGTGTAAACATATAGTCATAGAAAATTAGGAAAACTGGAGAAAGACACCCCTAGTCCACAAAGGCACACATCCACTTCCACATCATGTCCCTGCAGGTTCACCTCCTTGAGACCAGTTACTGAGGTGACAATGACAAAAGGCACCGAGGTTCCTGAGGTTGTGCTGAGATGTGTCACAAAGCAAATGTTCACCTGCAGAAGGACATCCCTGGGCTAGTGGAAAAAGGAAAGTTGTGAGTCTTCAGGATGGAGAAGGTCCTTTCTCCCTCACTTCTATTACAGATGAGGGAGTTTGGGGTTTGCTGCAGAGGTACGGCAGCTGCTTTGAACAGTCCTCGCTCCTGAGTACAGTCCGCCAGGTACACACACTCTGAATTGCCAAGGACCTCCAGCCTGCAATGAGGAGCAGAGACAGCACTGTTACAGGGCAGGGCTGTTAACAGGACAGGTCGTCTCTGCCCATTCCCCCCAGCAGATGAGGAGACAAG